TTATACAGATGAATATTGATAGATCAAGATTTAAGCAAAAATCCGCACAAAACCAGAATGTTACATCTCAATTTAGTGAATTTAATTGATGTAAATCAATTTTAATTGATGTAAATCCATGACCTATATAGCTTTTAATCAATTACATCATAAAATAATCGATTAAAATGATATGAATTGTCTATGTAAATGTGCCTATTAATGGATTAAACCGATTAAAATCATTTTTTATCAGCTAAAACTATCAGAATGTGTTATCTAAGATCTCTAATTCAATTCTAATTTTAAATTAACATAACTACATTATATTTAAGGATGTTCAAAGAGTATTTCTGGTCAATTACCAGTTAAAATTACAAACCAGTAAGATTAAAATAAAGAAAACAACACATAAAAGAAATTTATGATAGAAAAAAGGGCCCATGTTGTTGATGAAATCAGTCATCCCAATTTTCTTGATTTAATTGCATATCCTCCAATTTGGTATAAATGTTAGTAATCTAATTTCCCAGGTTGGAGAATTGTGTGTTGGTCTACTAAAAGTGTTGGTAGGTCATTTGCATGTGTTTCCTTTGATTCTCTTGCAATGAGACCATTTGAGAGAGCATGGTTTGTTCAAAATGTGAGAGTGGAGTCCCACGGTCAGGTTGCTTTGTGTAAGGTATGATTTCCATGTTCTCATAAGATGATTGACCACCAGTGGACTCAGGAACCTCAGCAGCAACTGGAGAAGAAAGAATTTGACCTTGATCAGCTTCTTCTTCATCTTCATCCTCATCTTCGGACATCCCAGCATCAATCTTTGAGATTCATTCTCCATCAATTTTGATAAATCCCATCTTCCACAGAGTGGAATCATCAATATTATTGGAGGCCTTTGGAGTTTCCACATATTCTCCTGCAAGATCTACTTCAAAGTATCTAAAAAATTGATTAATTAACTTAGCATATGGCAGTTTATAATCAACCAATCTTTTTGCTTTTATCATGTGATCCTTGATAACAAAAATCCAGTTTACACGAATACTATTTTCAATGCAATACATGAGAGCTAAGTCACCCTCATTGAGTAAATCATGATTACTCCCCCTTGGAGTAAGCATCCAAGCAATGATGAAGGCAAGAATTCTCGGTTCAAGCTCCATCTTCCCAGCATTAAGAGTTCTTACAGAATCATTTTGATTTTTTGAGACAATTGCGAAAAAATTGAATTTTGTTAAAATCAAGTAACTCTGCAATGTTACCTCTGGGTACCTTTACACTAACATCAGGGAGACCAGTCACTTCTTCCCATACCTCAGGCGTGATCACCATACTTACACCGTTGACTTGAGACCTTAGTGTGGAGCCACTGACTGTAAGTTTGGCATAGAAGACCCTCACAAGATCAGGATGGATGTTGCCGGTGTGCTCCAGAAAAGTCTTCAACTTTTGTCTTTTCAATTTTCTTCTCAGTGAGGTAAAGCCTTCTTCATCCAACCAAGCAAACTTAATGTATTTAGGAATCACCAGTTGTTTTTGGCTAAAGTTTGAAATAATGTTGTTCATCTAGTCAATGTCTCCATTGAACCATGCTTCAACGTGTCCACCAGCGTTGCCAACAGTAGAGGAAGATTCCCCCTTATGCTTCTTCCTTGATTTTGATCTTTTAAACATATTTGAAGCAAAAATTTGAGAAGAAATTTGGAAAAGATATGAAAACAAGAGAAAGGAGAAGCTAAGATATAGATGAGTTTATGCAGAACTTGGTTTTATGAATGAAGATTGGATTTCAAATTTTTGAAATCTGAATGTCATAACAGTAATGTTTCAGCTTTAATTGACTATGTTCCCTTGACTGAGTGCAGAATCATATGCTTTGGGCAGTGGGTACATCAACTAAAGTGTTCTTGGATAGACATTGACTTGGTCAAACAATACAGTAAATGTTTTTTATAGATTTTGAATATCAATGAATCTTAAAAATCAGATCTTGATTTGTTGAAAATTCTTCAATTAACCATATTTAAAATAGTTTTTAAGAACAAATTAATCTATTAACCAACAATTTAATCAATTAATTTGATCTAGAATATTAGGTTAACAATGTAATAATTGATTAAAACAGAAAAGAATTGATTAAATTTGTACTATATATGTTTAATGAAATTATCACAAAATTTTAATTGATTAAATCGAAAAAGAATCGATTAAATTTAATGATTTTAACCGATGTAAATTTTTTTAATCAATTAAAACAGAGATCCGGAATAATAGTTGTAAACTTGAGAGGTTTTAATCGATTAATTCAATGAATAATCGATTAAAGCTGTATGGACAACTTTTCAAAATTTCTCCGTAAGTGAATTTAATCGATTAAAATAGTTTTCTATCAATTAAAATGATAAGTTCATGAAACTAGAACATATAATTGTTGATTAGGTACCAAAGAAGCTCCAGAATTTTGTTCTTACAAAACAAATTTAGCATAATCTGGTATCCTTTTTATAATTATAGAGTCCTATCAAGTTATTTGAAATGATTTCTTGAGAACCCACTTCATTCTTCCTTTTGGAACAACATATTTCATAATTCTGCAAAATTTAACTGAGTGACATCTTTTCATGCAATAAAAACATTTGATAAAAGATGATGAGTATGATTTTCTATATGCAGTTTTTCTAGTTTTTAATCTTGATTTAAAACCAATACCAGTTTTATTAAGAAAAAGTTTTTGTGATCCAAAAAGAACATCAAGATTAGTTTTTCCTTGTGTAAACTTTGAAATAGTTTGTAAAAGATATTCAATTTTCTTTTGTAAATTTGGACATTTTTCACAAGGTTTGATCATGTTACACATACAATCATAATTATTATGAATTAATTTTAGATAACCACGATCAGTTTCATCTTCAACAATTTTCTTTTCAAGGGAATCAACTCTATTTTCTAGCAAGTTTTTCATGTCTTTTAGCCTTTCATTTTCTCTTTTAAGTTTCTTGGTTTCTTCATGCATTTCATTAAATGTTGCTTGCATTGAGTTATAATTTATGAAATTAGAAGAAGAATTAAAACTTACACTACTGGTTTAATAATTCTGGTTAACCATTAGACACAAGTTAGCTTCTTCATCATCATAAGTTTCTGTTGATGAGGTATCATTGTCACCTCATGCTATGTATGCTCTTCTTTTGATCTTTTCTTCTTTCTTGTCATTATTCTTGTTCTTTTCTAGACACTCCATTCTTACATGACCCTGCTTACCACAACCATAGCACTTATAGTTAAAAGAATCAAATTTCTTTTCATACCTTTTGTGCCTTTCTTTATCTTGGATCTTTCTCTTGAGAAACTTGTTGAACTTTTTGACCAACAATCCAAGAATCTCACTTTCTTCTTTTGATTCTTGGGCTTTCTCATCAGCTTTAAGTGCAATGCTCCTACCTTTCTTTTCAAAGATTTCTTGCTTATTGAATCTGTTAATTTCCATCTCATGCTCTCTGAGTTTGCCAAATAAAGAGGTTGTTGTCATAATGGACAAGTCTTTTGACTCTAATATTGTTGTGACCTTAGGCTTCCATGACCTGTCAAGACATTTTAAAACTTTTATATTCAATTCTTCTTCATCAAAAGTTTTACCTAAACCCATTAGATGATTGATGATGTGAGTAAAGAGTTTTTGCACATCTGCAATGCTTTCTCTAGTTTGCATCTTAAACAACTCATATTCCCTGATGAGAGTATGCTTTCTAACTCTCTTCATATCAGCAGTTCCCTCATGAGTAACTTCAAGAACCTCCCACATTTCCTTGGCAGATTTGCATTGAGATACTCTAAAAAATTCATCCCTGTTAAGAGCAAAAGTAATTATGTTTTTAACAGTACAATCACTTTGAACTTTTCTTTTCTCTTCATCATTTAAACTGGACCATTCTTTTTCTATAATTAATGGACAATTAACAATTACATCCCAAACATTTCTATCAATAGATTCAATAAAGATCTTCATTCTAATTTTCCAAAATGGTTAATCTATACCACAAAATAGTAGAGGTCTATTAAAAGAAGCTTCCTCAAAAAAGGTAATTTATTTTCAACCATGAAAGATTTGGACCGAAAGTCTTGAGTATTTTTCAAGACCCTACTCTTGATACCAATGGTTAGAAAAAGAGGCTGATTGCTAATTGGCAATCATGTTATGCTAATTGCTAAAACAAATTATGAAAACACAAATTACTTCCCTTTCTTACCAAAGAAATATATTGAACAACAACAGGTAGATTAAGGTCCAAAACATGACCTAATCAAAATTGTAAATTATACAGAAAATATATATATATATATATATATATATATATATATATATATATATATATATGAACAATCGAATGAAGTTTGTGACCAAAGTTGGTATTAGCATTCTGCATAGCTGTCACCTTCACCCTTCAAAAAGTTGTTAATTTGTTCCAGCGCTTGCAAGATATAAAGGAATAACTGTACATAAGCATCAATGATACAAAAGTTAGATTCAACTTTAGCTCCCAGGAATTTATCAGTTTGCCTGGAGCCCCAACCAAATAGGGTTAGAAATTGCTCAAGACCTCAAACGCAATATCAGTTGGAGACAATTTAGACACATCTCTTTTGCCCAGTTTTATTGCTATATCTGGCACAAATAGAATATTAGATATTGCAGAGAATTGTTATCATCCGGGAAGCATAAACAATAAATACAAAGCATGTTATCATCCCATATATTATGGATAATTCCACATGTTGTATTTCAAAACATGAAAGAAAGATTAATGGACATACTTTTTAACAAGAACCTGGCATTGGCAATGGCATATGCTTCACCTCTCTTTTCAAAAGTAACAGACAATCGCATAAATGCCTGCATGTGAATTCCAAAGGGAAAAAGTAGCAACACTGATACCTATAAATAAGACATTCAAATAATTAACAAATAGAGACAAATTAATTCAAATAGTTGTGATTGTTGAGAATGAATGAGCTAAGACAAGAAGAATATATATACCAGCATTGAAAACCCCTACGGGAAATGCACCAAGGTCCTCTACTAGCTGCTCAAGAAATATTAAATCATTATATTTATTCAACTAAAGAAGGGAAAATTTAATCATAGTTGTCAAAGAATAATAATACAGTCACTTGGAGACACTCAAAATAACCAATTCCATCGTCACTCCAATAGTTCCAAATATCATCGAAGTGTCCAGGTCTCTGTTCCCATGGTCCAATTGTATCTTTCCACTAATATCTATTTCGCAGATAATCATCACGTTCAACATATATACCACCTAATACAGTGGCATTGACAAATAATGTTAGGTCTTAGAGATATTATTTTACAACAAAGTTTAGAAAGAAGAAATATTATTCGTTAATATCATAACTAACTTTGGAAACAAATAATTTCAACATACCAGGAAATCTGAGAAATTTTGGTTTCAAATCTGCCACCATCTGAAAAAGGTCCTTTCTAAAGCCATGGCCCTGTTTCGAAAGAAAAATGAAGTAATGTAAAGGAAAAAAAATGAAAAACAAGTGAATATTACCATCAATATGGTCATAGTTACATTTGTTGATTTATAAGGTGTGATTGTTTATTCTACCAACCATATGAGTGTCCAATGGCATAGTTGAACCATCAATTAGTCATTTTAATAAATGTCAAGAACCACCAATTAGTCATTTTAATAAAATTTTGAATATGAAAAAAATTAAACAACAAAGTGTCATGGTTACATTGTTTTGGCAATTATTTGTTACATTTAAACTTACATAATGCAAATAATAGACAAAATTTACAATGTGTGAATGGAAAGTATATATATTAATTTCCTTACCATGCCCCAATAACCTGGATTAGAGATACCAATGCCACTATTGGCATTGGCATTGGCATTCTTCAAAAATAGCAGACAATCGTATAAATGCCTACATGTGAATTCCAAAGGGAAAAATTAATTTTGATGCAAATTCGTAAGATGATAAGTTAGATCAGCTTGGTAACTTTAAAGTTACTATGTTGTGTTTAGAAAAGACAAAATAAAACAATCTTACAATTGAATACTAATAATTACCCGTGCATAAGGATCCCCTGCTTCATAGTGCAGAAGGGGGCGAGAATTAGTTCCTACAGCTGCAATTCTCTATGTCAAGGCTTCCACTGGTACGTACAACCAAACAATAACCCCCTTGTGCATATATTTCCTGGAAATCCATTCACATGCAAGTCCATGTAAAGATGAGAAAAGATTTAATTGAAAAAAAATGTTAAGTTTAAACTTTTCTCAGTATTGAGTTAATTCTTATACCAATTTATGGGCCTTATAACAGTTCCTCCACCTGTACACATACATAAAAGTACATCAAAAATAGAATCCACGAAAACCCTAACCTGAGAAAGGTGTATGCATGCCTCAAATTCAGCTGGGTCTACCTTTAACAAACTCTCCAACCTTAACCTCAACACCTAAATAGAAAAATCCCAAATACTAGATATCGCTCATAAAGCCCTAATTCATACACTAATGCATTCGTATACTTCTTCTAATAGCCTTATTAGACATAACTGGTGATAAAGGTCAAAAAAGAAAAATGAAACAGAGATTGATTGCAATTTGAACATACATATCAGAGTTGTTCATTGTAATGTCATGCATGAAATTTGGATTTGCGGTAGCTACTAAGGGCGTCGCGGTGGCTGATGGCGGCGCTGGTTAGGGTTGGTGCGGTGGCAGGCGAGAATGAGACGCGGTGGTGATTTGGGCACAACGAGTTAAGGCGAATCCGCTGGAGGTATGAGCTGGGAGGCTTGGGCTGTTGAATCGAAGGAAAATGGGTAAGAATGGATGAGGTGAGACAGTGGTTTGCGACTGCAGAGGCGGAAGGAGAGGGGGTGAGGTTGGAAATAATGTGTCGTGATGGGAGATAGAGCGGAGGTTCGCTGGGGTAGTGCTTGTGGGTGTGGTGGTGACCGAAGCTGAGGGGAGAATGGGTTAATTGGAAATGGGGTGGGTGTTGGTTGTTCAGGGAACGAAGGAGTAATGACAGGGGAAAGAGGAATGGTGGAGGGGAAAGAGGAATGGTGGATGGTGACACTGAGTGAGATGGATGGTTGCGGAACAGTGCGTAAGAGTTTTGTCCAATTCTTAAACGAAGAAAATCAAGCTATTCAAAGTAAGAAAACAGCAGAATTAAAGAGTATGTTTTAGAAAAATACAACCAAGATTTATACTGGTTCACCCAATTCCAGGGCTACATCTAGTTCTCAGCCAAATTTCAGCTGAGTTCCACTAGATTGAATGTTTTACAGATTACAGATTCCAATCACATACCCAATCTACCACTAGACCCAAATTCCATCTGCAGAACCAGTGTCCAAAAATTTCAGACATCCACAATACAGTAAAGAAATGTAAAGAAACAAAAAGAATAAACTAGGAAAATCAAACCCAGATTATGCAGCTTCTACAAAATGAGTTTCTTCACCAAAAGAATGAAAAAATTCCCTCAAGAAAGAACTCTGAAAAACTCCACAAACTTGCGCAAATTCTTTCTTGAAAATAGCTCTTATGATCACTTGATTGATTTCTCAAAAGTGTATTTTAAAACGTTGAATCAAATCTATTTATATAGAGAAGTTTTTCAACTATCTGGTTTAATTAATCTATTAAAACAATCTTTTAATCTGTTAAAAGTCTTTGATTAATCGGTTAAAACTTCTTTTAACCTGTTAAAATGTTCTTGATCATTTTCCAGATTTATTTTAACTAATGCGACATCGTTTCAATCGATTAAAATAATTAATAAAAAATCCCTTAAGTTGTTTACATCGATTAATTCGCAATTTAATCGATTAATATTCTGCCAAAACTTTTCAAAAAACTTTCTAAGTGATTTTAACTGATAACAGCTAGTTTTAATCGATTAAAATAGTTAGCAAAAAGTTCCTTAAGTTGTTTTAATCGATTAATTCGATTTTACATCAATTAATATCCTGACAGAACACATTTCAAAACATCTCAAGTTATTTTAATCGATTATTTCGAGTTTGTATCGATTAAAATACTGCCAGAACACTTTATAAAACATTTTAAGTGTTTTTAATCGATTATTTCGAAACTGTATCAGTTAAAACACTGGCAGAAGGTTTTCAAAAACTCCTTTTATGAAAATAATCGATTAATTCGAAAGTGTATCGATTAAAACGAGTTCCAGTGAATGTTTTAAATGGTTTTAATCGATTATTTCAAAACCTATCACTTAAAAATCTGTCATGTAAGTTTTAAGAACATTTTAATTCATAAAGCACATATAATATCAGTTAAAATAATTTCTTAAAAATAATTTAATTGATTGCTTTGGTTTTTAACGGATTAAAAACATCTTTAGAGGCATTTTTCAAATTCTTTCAAATGATGAAACTTCATGCAGCAGAGGGATATGAATGATTATACCTATGTATAGATGCAGACTCACTAATCACTCTACCCTTTAACCCAACTAGTCTTTGACTTCATCAAATCCACAAGATCTTCATTTTATCTAATGATCCAATAAGATCTTCATCACTTTCAAAAAATTGTCATGTAAGTTTTAAGAACATTTTAATGTATAAAGCTCATATAATATCAGCTAAAACATCTTTAGAGGCATTTTCAAACTCTTTCAAATGATGAAACCTCATGCAACAGAGAGAAATGAATGATTATATCTATGTATAGATGCAGACTCACTAATCACTCTACCCTTTAACCCAAGCAGCCTTTGACTTCATCAAATCCACAAGATTTTCGATTTATCAAATGATTCAATAAGATCTTCATCACTTTCACTTATATCAACAGACCCCCACTTTTTGCTGGACAAAATTATCCGTTTTGGAAAGTAAGAATGCAAATATTTTTGGAGTCTGTTAACAGGGGTGTTTGGGATGCTGTTGTAAATGGTCCTTTTATTCCAAAAATGACTGAAAATGAAGTAGAGGTACCTAAACCATTTTCTAGATGGACTGCAGAAGAAAACAGAAAAACTCAATATGATATCAGGGCTAGGAATATTATTTCATTTGCTTTAACTCTTGATGAATTTTATAGAATTTCAGTTTGCAAGAGTGCTCAAGAAATGCGGGAAATGTTAAGAGTAACCCATGAAGGAATTGATGATGTTAAAAGAGCACGAAAGAACTCATTGATACAAGAATATGAGATGTTCCAAATGCAACAAGGAAAAACAATCTTTGACGTTCAAAAGCGTTTCACACATATTGTCAACCATCTCACTAGGCTTGGTAAGATTTTTTATACTGATGAGTTAAATATAAAAATTTTGAAATATTTGGACAAGAAATGGCAACCAAAGGTGACTGTCATCACAGAAGTCACAAAATCTTGCTACAATGTCAATGGCGACTCTCTTTGGAAAGTTGAGAGAGCATGAACTTGAACTTGGAAGACTAAATGACGAGGAAGGCCAAAGTGTCAAAAGAAACATTGCCTTCAAAACCGAGATTTTAAAAAGTAAAAATAAGAAGCAGAAAGAAGACTCAAAAAATGAGGAAGATGAAAACTTGACTCTTATGATTAAGAAGTTTACAAATTTCATGAAAACTAAAGGGAAGCATTCATTCAAATGTAAGAGGAATGAAAAAGAAGGATCCTCTTCTAAATTTAAATGTTATGGATGTGGTGAAACAGGTCATGTGAAATCTGAATGTCCCAATAAGAAGAGTGATGATCTTAAAGGGAGAAAATCTTATAAAAAGAAAGCCTACATAGCTTGGGATGATAGTGATTCAAGTTCGGAGTCAAGTGATTTGGATGTTGAAGCAAACCTTTGCTTGATGACAAATGACAGAAATTATTCCGACTGTGAGGTAAGTGATTCCGATTATTCTTCAAGTAATGATGAAAATGACTATGATGCTTTAAAAAATGCATATCAAGAACTATTTGATGCTTTTAAAGATTTGAAAACTGAATATAAATCTTTGAAAAATAATTTGAATAAATCGGAAAAGAAGTAGAATCTTTAAAATAAAAAATAGTGTCTTTAGAAGAAAGAGAAGATGAACAAAGTGCATGTGCATCATGTAAGAGATATATGAATATGATATTCACATACTTGGACACTTACTTAAAAGAATTAAGTAATTGTAGCAAGGATGAAGTTATTGTACAAACTCAAGTAAATTGTCATGTTCCATTGAAAAAGCCTAAAAATAAAAGAACCCATAGGG